TGAAAAATGGGGCAAAAACAAAAGTGTTGCGTTTATAATTTTGTTCAGTGTATTTTGTATTTACAAATATATATATAAAAAAAAAAGAAATTAAATTTTTTATATTATAAATATATTATTAATATATAATTTTAATATAAATATTAATTTTTTTAAATAAATATATAAAAAAATTAAAAATATAATAATTATAATACATTTATTTTACAGTACAACTTCACTTTGAAACATGCATTGCATATGTATGGGGTAATGTACATCCAGCCGTTGTTATCGCAGTCAGGGTCCTGATCACCCTGTCCGCGGTTATTCTGCGATAACCAGCTGGATGTACATTATCCCGTTTATTACACAGCTTCTTACCACATAAGTAAATAATTAGACAAAATATTGATTTGAGTTGAAATATTTGAACGCAAAGCTTCTGTTAAGACAGCAATTGCGAGCAAGCGGCAAGTTCAAACTAGATGGAAATTTAAGGGAAATGGTGCGGTCATACCACTTATTACACAACATTTCACCAGATAAATAATTATGGCGACAAAAGATATTGATTTAAGACAAAACTGTTTTAAAATCTTACCAGTATGTTAGTTATATAATATATAATCCATTACAGTGTACAAAACAATCGTCACAAAATGGCAGCAGCTGCGTTTGTATGAAATGAAAGAGTGAGTCCGCGATACCAGGATGACATAATTAAATAATTGTACACATAATATTGAATCAAGTTTTAATATTTGATTAGCTAACGAAACGCAAAGCTTCCACAAACAAAAACTGTTCCTAGCAAGAGTACAGTGCCGACTTCAGTTACCCGGATGAGCCTGTGTTACCGTTTCCGCTGTAAACAAAGAAGCGCTGCACATATGAACTAGATGCAAGATGAAAAGAAAAAATACCATCTAAGCTTTTCTAAAGACAGTAAGTTCCCCTCAGACATGCATTCATATAAACTCCTACCCCTAAATGAATCGCGATTTGTTTAGCATCTCAACCGATTTGAATCGTCACATATTTGAATCGATTTTCAACCGGCTCGCGGTTAATCGTTACATCCCTAGCTTTTACTGGTTGTTATCGAGGGTTATTACACGGCTCTGTGGAATACTTGATTCTGATTGGTCAGTCGCGACATTCCAAGGTATGTTATCCCTCGATAACAACCAGTAAAAACTAATAACACAGGCTCATCCGGGTAACTGAAGTTGGCACTGTACTCTTGCTAGGAACAGTTTTTCTTCGTGGAAACTTTGCGTTTGGATAGCTAATAAAATATTAAACTTCAATTCAATATTATGTGTACAATTATTTAATTATGTCATCCTGGTATCGCGGACTCGCCCTCTCGTTTCATACAAACGCAGCTGCTGCCATTTTGCGACGATTGTTTTGTACACTGTAATGGATTATAAGATATAACTAACAAACTGGTAAGATTTTAAAACATTTTCGTCTTTAATATCTTTTATCGCCATAATTATTTATGTGGTGAAATGTTGTGTAATAAGGGGTATGACTGCACCGTATCCCTTAAATGTCCATCTAGTTTGAACTTGCCGCTTGCTCGCAACTGCTGTGTTCACGGAAGCTTTGGGTTCAAATATTTCAACTCAATATTTTGTCTAATTATTTACTTAAGTGGCAAGTAACTGTGTAATAAGCGGGATAATATAACCGCTGGATGTACATTATCCCTTACATAACACACCTCGGAATGTCGCAACTCACCAATCAGAAACAAGAATTCCACAGAGCCGTGTAATAAATTTAGTTAAATCACAGCATTTACAGTTTGATAATTGCAATATTGCACCCAATTTTCATTTTTGTTTCGATTAATCATGCAGTCCTAACTCAGATGATGAAATCATAACTTAGATGATGAAATCAATATTAGTTCCGTTTTTTCTGATTTTCATCTTTTTTTTTCTTTTTAATAATAGGTCCGTGTATGTGTGCATATCTGCAGTACCACCATCATCAATTGTTTTAAGGCTTTGCTTTGGGTAAAAGGGCAGTTTCATGAGGTTTAAGCACAGAACAAAGTTTTAAACTGCATTTCATTCTTTCTTCTTCAGGAAAATGGGACTAGCGTGAGTAAGGAAGAGCGCACTCCTTCCAAGCGCTCCCCTAGCAATGGCGTGGCATCGCCCGAGGAGGCTCTAGCCATGGTGAATGGCGTCTCCTAAAAAGTCATCTCGCCCCCTCAAGACCCACGTCTAAAGCAAGACACCATGGCGAACTCTGTCCCTGCTTGCATTCACGTAAACCTTTAAACTGACGAATGAAAATCAACAAAAATCCTTGAATTCATACAAGTCTATGAGAAGAAAATTATACAAAAAAAATGACGAACGCATCTACTTTAAACCACACGTAACGGTGTATGTTTATCCTATCTATCAGTACTTAGTGCTTATTTAAGACAAGCTTGCCAGAAATGAGCTGATGGATATGACTCAAATTTCTGACGTAACACAGAAAACAGGACGTGACTTTTTGGGTTTTATTTAAAAAAAAAAAAAAATTCTTTTTGCAGTTGTCGTTGCTGTCATTGTTTTTGATTGTTTGTACTCACTGGTGTGGGACTGTGAAACACTCCCAAACAGACGCATCTCTTAAACAGTGTTAGCTAAATGAGGGCGGAGCTAGTGGAGAGGCAGCCTCTCGTGAGTGATTGAGTCTGTGGTACTCTGAATTTAAGGGCAAAAAGGGGAAACAGAGAGACATTGTGCCTTGAATTTGAAAAAACTTGAGTATTTTCTTTTTTTCTCCTTAATATTTGCGTTGTTCATGGGATGAAGTAGATGGTTCCGGTTTTATTTTGTCGGAAGAAATGACAGGAATATGCAGAATAAGAGGGGTTAAGATTGGGGGAAAAGACAGATAATGCCAAACATGAAATTAGGACGTTTGTCCAAGGTCAAGTCATTATGTGAAAGGCGTTTAATCTCTGTGTGTGTATGAGTGTGTGTCCGTTTGTATATGTATTATTGTGAGACATGCAGCAAGCGCATATAAATTGGGAGGAACGTTACATGATCCAAGAAACAACCCAGAAGAATCCTTAATGGATTCTGTCTCTTCAGTTAAAACGGGCGGAAAAGTGGCACGAGTGTCGGCAGACTTTCCAAACAGAGCTAAAGAGAGAGGTTGTTGAACTGACAGGTTCAGTGTTGATTCAGTATTTCAGCATCTCTTTCCCCACCGTATGTGGAAGGAAGGTGGGATGAATATGAGCGTGGAAAGTGGCGCGTGCACGCTCAATAGCTTCCAGCCCACAACTAAATGAACAGCAGGAGGGGATTGGTGACACTCTGGTGTGGATGGTTGGTCTTGATGATCTAGAAGGCACTCTGGGAACAGTGAAACCATATTAAGATAAAGCCAGAAACACTGAGACAGATGCATTCGTTCACACTCGCACACGCATGTACATCCAAGAGCATTATAATACTCTCCAGTTTGGTCAAATGGGGTTTTGGCCTCTTCTGTCTCAGCTGGGAGATCTGATGCTGTGGCAGAGAAGGTCATGGAGCGTTTGTCGTGTCCCTGGTTGTCATGGTTAAAGGGAGGTAGCGTTCCCTCACATTGTTACTGTCATCTTGGTTCCTGCTCTCTATAAGTTTTTTTTCTTTTTCTTTCCACATCAGAAAAACAAAAAAGATTAAAATGGAAGTGAAATAAATTATTTCTGGAATGACACCTGTGTACAGATTTTCTTCTCTGCAGTCTGATTTCGGTTTGTGCACTTTACACGAATGGGGTGCAAAATAGGATCTGAAACTCTTAAATCTATAGTATTTTTTCCCATAAAATGATAAGTAAAAGAAAAAAAGTCAAACTCAGAAGGTCAAACTAGATATTATATTAAATGGATTCTCCACCCAAAAATGAAAATGTACTCATTTACACACTCTCATGCCATCCAAGATTAATTTGACGACTTTGGGGGACAAACAGATGTTTCGAAAAATAATCCACCTCTGAGTCATTGAGTCTCAGTTGAGGTTGTAGGGATTATTATGTTTGTTTTGTGTGGTTTTTGAAGCATTGACTTTTGAGGGTCCCATCCACTTAAATTATAAGAACTCGCAGCAATGGATTCTAAACATCCTGTTTTCCACAGAAGAAAGTCAAATACATCTGACAGCATGAGGGAGAGTAAATGATGAGAGACTTTTCAAAAGTGAGTAAATGATGAGAGACCTACCATAAGCATTAAAGGACCCTCCATAAATCCCCCAAAAAATGAACTTGTGTTTTTCAATAAAACTATAATACTTGAAACGAAACTAGTGAAAATGGAAATAAAACGAAAAGTGTAAATTGCTGTATTAAATTAGACCTGCTCATGTTTACATATTTCTTTTTACAGCCGTTGCGCATTATAACTAATCACACACGATTCTGTTGAGTTTATGAAAGCAACGGCCAATCAGAAGCGTCCAGATGAGTCATCACTGAAACACCGAGTTTTGTTGTGTGCCCGCGCTCGCTGACTGAATTCTGACTGAAACTGAAAAGTATGTATGATGTAAGTAATCCATTTATTATAAAGTGTTTGGACAGCTTCATTGATTATAACAGGAGTTTTGAGTGCTTAAACTCTGGCTAGTCTGAAGTCAGCGGTCTTTAATGTAAGTGTTCTTTGCTCCATTGCATAATTTACTGTTTGAATGCAGGGACGCGGGAAATAACGTTACCCCGTTTTCACATGGTTGCAAATGCAACGCCAAGTTTGTTCATTTAAATTTATTCAGTTTTAGCATTTAATAATTTATTTGTAATGATCTCTGAAATGTAAATTGTAAGTGGGCTATAATAAACCCATGTTTATCTTTATAAACATGATTAATTTTACTTGTGATGTTTTCTATATGGGATGATTAGCCTAATCCTCATGAACACGTGACGCTGGCGCGTGGTATCAGCCATGAACTATACAGAATGCGAACAAGATTAACTTTAATACAAGGAGATAATGGCGCAAAAGCGAATTTCAGATTTTTTTTAAATGCCCATCCCAGCAAAAACTTTCTAAAATCGGCATCCAAACAACACCAGCCCTAGCACGAGCACCGATGTAAGTGAACCAGCCTCACCCCCTCACACCCACCCTTTCACCCAACACGGACACCCACAGCACCTCCAACCGAAAACATCTTCCCGCGCCCCTGTTTGAATGTGAAAATTAAAGTGTTATAATTAGTAACTTAGAATGTTTTTATTAAATTGTGATCGCTTCAAATACAAATTCAGTCGTATTAAAATATTTCATGACACCATATCTGGTACTTGTCTAAACAGAGGTGTTTTGATGTGTGTTACACTAACGTTACTTTAGCCTTAACGTTACCCTGCAGTTGGTTCACTCTCTGCCTATGGGTAAGATATTTGTTTGGTACACCAACTGATACTGAAAAAGCTTTTATCTTGGAACCGACAAACAGTCATTAGGTTATTAGGTTTTCTCAACGATAAGAAAAATAAATACATTTATTCATAAGAGCTTTGACACAATTCGAACACTGCTTACCACTGCTAAATAAAAATGACTTTCATCTCTTGCGTACTGATCAAGACAGACTATGAGGTCCATGTGGTAGTGCCTCATACATCCTAAGCCCTCAAATCGTCTAATTTTTTTGGATTGCTTGGCTTTATGAAGAGGCAGACTGCAGAGTTTATTTTACAGAATTGATAGGATAACGGTATTATAATACTGGCCATATTTGCTTTTGTTTATAAATACTAAAACGCATAATAGAGGTTTAGAACCTGATCCCAGGTTCAGATGTCACGGATAAATAAGACCTTCAAATTGAAAATGCATTTGTTACCAGAGCTTAACCTACGTATGTTTACAGATTCATCACTGCAGTGTTTACGTTTTGCATTAAACGCGTCGTTGTTTAGCAAACCTTTAGTATGCTCAGTGCCTACAGACCGGTTTTATTCCAGGATGTGTTACATCATAAGGGTTACTGCGCAAATAAGACTTTTTGTAAAGGTCTATTAATACTATCATACCACCATTTATGAAAACCATTTTAACTGGTTTATGTTAGGATTATAGTTAACTAAAACTAAAATCGAAACTAAAGGTATTAAAAACATTTTTGTTACTTGAAATAAATGTTAACTGAAATTATATATATATATATATATATAATATATATTTATTCTTCAAGAAACGACTAAAAACACATCTGTTCCATCTTTATTTGACCCTCTAACTCTAGCACTTTCTATTCTATTTTAATTCTACTTGATCTATTTATCTTTTTTTTAACTAACACTTTCTATTTTTTCTATTCTACACTGTAAAAAAATTTCCGTAAAATTTCCGGTAAGAAACCGGCAGGTGTGTATATATATATATATATATATATATATGTATATATATATAAGTAAAAATACCTTGCTATGTGTACTGCGTACCGTTGTTTGTCATTTGCACTTACATATTGTTGCTCTTTTGTTAGTTTTGTTTGCTTTTATTGTCCTCATTTGTAAGTCGCTTTGGATAAAAGCGTCTGCTAAATGACTAAATGTAAATATATGTATATGTGTGTGTGTTTGTGTGTGTGTATTAATTTCAGCAACTTATCTCATTTTAATTTAGTTTAACTTGATTTAATATATATATTTATATACATACACTAAAAATGACAACACACAACAAAATTACTAAAACTTTACATTTAAAATAAAAATGGAAAATATGAATAATGAAATCCAATGATTGTCTTTACTTTGTTGATCACAATAGAAATGCACCTGCTTTTCTGTTTTTAAGCTGTATTCATAATGGTGCAGGGGTTGTGTGACGTTTCAGAGCAAACATCTTCATCTGTGACCACCACCTGTAATCACGCAGACTGGCGCTCCACCTAGAACATTTTTCACTTCCTCCCCCTGTGAACAGCAGTGCATCGACACCCTCTGAAGACCAGGCTTCAGGCAAGTACACTGGTTTCTAGACTTGTGTAAATAATATACATCAGTTGCTTTCTGTAGTATTCCATTTCTGTACTGTTCCTATATCTGATGACTTTTTTTATTAAATTATTTTTTCAGATGATTAAGGATTGTTGTTTTTTTTAATAGCTTTTAAAGTGGTGGCACCGCAACAAATTTGCCTAGAAATGTTTTGTTTCTCAAATTCTCAAGCATGTCCAGATAGGGCACATTTTTAATTGTAATTGATAGAAGCACCTCTTTATATTTAAAAAATCACATTCTTGCGATCTTCTATAGCACTTTTTTTCCAGCATTTACCACACTGCCACATGCATTTAAGCCGAATACCATCTGTGAAAAAGTGATATGAAAGAAAAATATGAAAAACAAGTTCTCTGAACTCACTTACATGCTTTCATTTCATATTGTTCTGTGGTCATTGGTAACCACACTGCTCTATTATTTTCCATCTCGTGTTCCGTTCCCCCTTTTTATGCTCTGATACGTTTTACTGATACCACACCTGCAGTGAAAGGTGTGGAAATTTGCATTGTGTTCCTCTGTGCTGGGGTGTGGGAGAGGACCGGCCCTGCATGTGGGGAATCTTTTTCAGTCCCGATCAAGTTTCTCTGATTGTAGTGGAGATATTTGATCATGGCACACTCTTGTAGCTCTTTGCTGTCTTTTTTTTTTTTTTTTTTTTTTTTTTTAAGTGATGCAATGTAAAACCTCTGTTTGACTCAAAGTTTACATGCTGCAATCTAGCGTTTGCTTGCAAAAGATACCACTGTCTCAGAAAGATTAAAATGGGAGCTTTTGGAAGATTCACAGATAAAAGCTTTTTACTCTCAAATATCCAATTCAAGTTTCAAGTAGGGCTGAACGATTAATTGCATTTGCGATAATATCGCGATATGACTACACTGACGCGACAAAGCGACCGTTGCAAATCATTTTAACTTGTGTCAGTACGTCATAAATAGAACAAGGCATCAGTTTAATCTCGGGTTTTGTCGCGTCGCGCCCTATACAGCCTATGACATAATACAGAACATAAAGAGCTTTAAAAAATAATTGCATATTAAATCGCAATCGCAATATTGGTAAAAAAAAAATCGCAATTAGATTATTTAACAAAATCGTTCAGCCCTAGTTTCAAGTTTATTTATCATGTGTACAATGTCAGTGACAATTTGCACATTGAAATGCTGAGGCTCAGGCATTCTACATTAGTGCAATACTATATAAGTGCAATATAATACAAACTATTAGAGAGAAGAGAAAAAAAAAACGTTTGTAGTCTTGTAGTATGTGCAGTCTGTTTTTAAAGTGCAAATGATTTTTGTAAAGAAAAATAGTCATCATGAGGTATATGTGTTGTATACATATTTGTAAGGAGTGTAGTGAGTATTAAAGGGGTCATCGGATGCTAAATTCACTTTTGTTGTTGTTTGAACATAAATGTGTGTTGGAAGTGTGTGTACACATCCACCCTTTAATGATAAAAATCCCCCCAGTGTTTTTTTTTTTAAGAATGTCTCCGATTGAGGTGTTTTGTTGTTGGGTGTAATAATGAATATAGCAGACGTAATTTACTCCCGACATCTGAGCCGCTGAAGACGCAGAGGATTAATGTTACTTTCGTTTTTGAAAGGAATGTGCCGATCCCCGATCTGCCTAAATGCGTTTAAGTTTGCGTGAATCATGATCCAGCTTCATCTACAGAAGAAGTGAGTATAAGGGTTTTTTTATGAATCTTTGTAAATCGCCTTTCCTAATATGTGCTAGTTAATAACCAAAGTATGTTATAGGCTTTTCATTAAGACCCTAAAGAATCATATCAACTTGTGGAAAATGGGCATCCGATGACCCCTTTAAAGAGTGTTTGGAGTTCTGATGGCCTGTAGGTAGTAGCTGTTCTTCAGTCTGCTGGTTCTGGATCAAATACTCCTGTACCGCCTGCCTGATGGCAGTTAATAAACAGGTTGTGTGCTGGGTGACTGGGGTCAGCAATGATTTTGCGAGCCTTCCTCAGACATCGCGTGTAATAGATGTCCTGTAAGGTGGGTAATTTGGTGCCTATAATGATTTCAGCTGCTCTCACGACTCTCTGGAGAGCCTTGTGATCGCTGATGGAGCAGCTTCCATAGTAATTTAAATTCCAATGTAATTTAAATGTGAATAACACTGCTATCTGTATTGTCATACAAAGTGGGGACAGTTATTTTATGTTTGTAGCCCAACTAGAATGTAAAGTGATGTAAAACCAGCTAAATATCCTGACATTAACTCTTGTATGACAGGGTTTATGCCATGATAACTCAAAATATTAATCCATCAGAAGAGATTTTAAAAAGTGTCTTACTTTAACACGTCCATTAAGTGGAACCCTCAAAACTAATTAAATTTAATTTTGCTTAATAATAATAATAATTATTATTATTATTAAATAATGTGCATGTATTTAAACATATGCCTCTATAAATAAATACAAATCTCTATTTATTAAACGTGTGTGTGTGTGTGTTTATGATGAGCATTCTGATTTGTCTGGATTTTCAAATGTGTTTTCCCAGGTCAGTTCATGATGGCACATCCAGCTGTAATTGTCCAGCCAGCCATGGTGGTGACCACTAATAATGTGATGTTAAACCAGTGGAGCAGTGGAGTGTGTGACTGCTGTGAAGACATGGGCATCTGTAAGTGTGGGGTGGAGGGAGAAAGAGGAAAAGCAGGACATATCGACTACAGTCTATGTTTGTATGTGTGAAGAATGATGAGAATAAACTGTGAGCTTGTGGATGATCTGAAAGCAGTTCAATGTCATCTGCTTTCCTGTGGTAGGTTGCTGTGGTTTCTGGTGTCCATACTGCCTCATGTGTAAGACCAGTGAGGAATTTGGAGAGTGTCTCTGTCTCCCCCTGCTGGAGATATGCTTTGGTGGCATTTTGCATCCAATTACTCTCTCCATGAGGAGCAGTATGAGAGAGAGATTCCACATTAAGGTAAATACAGCATCACTATACAATTACGCAATTTTAAATAACTGTTTTCTATTGTCATATTTTAAAATATAATTTGTTCCTGTGATGCAAAGCTGAATTTTCAGCAGCCATTACTCCAGTCTTCAGTGTCACATGATCCTTCAGAAATCATTCTAATAAGCTGATTTGCTGTTTAAGAACCGTTTCTTATTATTATCAATGATGAAAACAGTTGTGCGGCTTCATATTGTTGTGGAAATCCCAATACATACATTTTCAGAATTTTTGGATAAACAGAAAATATTTGTATCAGTGTAATTTATTTTTAATAAAAATATTTGTCAGTGTGAAAAAGTCTTTACTGTCACTTTTGATCAATTTAATGCATCATTGCTGAATACAAGTATTAATTCCTTTAAACATTTTAATTTTAATTTCATTTAATTTGGTTTCATTTGACCAAGCATGACCAAAAAAAGCACAACTCTAGTGGTACAGTTTTTGATTTGAACTCAAATACTAAATAAATATATTTATAAACAAAACTGATTTACCACAATAATGTGTTTATGATTTGGAAAACCATTCTAATGCTTATATATATATATATATATATAAACACTGTAATGTTTACCACAAAGCATTACTTTCCTCAAAAACCCCAATTCTCTTCTGATTTTAGAACCACAAACTGAATTCATCAAGTTTACAGATGTTGCATGGCTCAAAAAATTATGTCCCCAGTATGAACGGGACGATACTTCCCCCGCCCTCCCATTATAGACTACTCTGTTTCATGTTTTTAAGTTTCACTAGATTTGATGTTCTTTTCTCTTTCATGAAGGGTTCGATACAGGATGACTGCTGTGTGGTGACCTGCTGCACTGTGTGCATCTGGTGTCAGATGGCCAGAGAGCTAAAGTCTCAACGGCACTCCCTAGTGGTCGTTAACCCTGCCGTCAACCCGGTTCACCAGCAGCCGCAGGCTTTCAACCAGCCTCTGCAACCCATCAATCCTGCCTACTAATGACCTCAGTGCACACGAGCACACTTTAACCTCAAGCTCCCCAAAGAGCAAAATCTACTGTTTTGTTGAAATTACATAGTGGAATATGTCCACGTCATTTTAATATTTATAGCCTACCTGTTTAACAATGCCAATATTTTTACTGAACAAAATATTGAATTTTTCTATTTTTTTAACACTTTTCTTTATAGATAAATTGCCAAATATAGTTAAAATTTTTAAAGATAGGGTGTACACCTATTTAAATAAATAACTAATATATTTCCTCATAAAACTGTTTATTTCTCATGTGTGCATCAACAATGTCAATCACATCAATCGCTATTGTGTGTGTGTGTGTGTGTGT